CGGGATTAATTTGGAGGCAAATCTGGCTTGAATATCTATTCCACAGGTCACTGGAATAAAACTGGGATAGCTGAGCCTGCTGCAATTCTCCCCCACCTCCAACGTGGCAGCAGTGTCAAACGTTGTAGCCATGACAAAGTGGGCCTTCAAACCTGTCTCCGGAGTTTGTGATTTCCTTTCATAACAAGACTATGCAAGGCAATGCAGGAATACCTGGTCCCAGTGAAAGTGGTTGCTGAATGAATCACTTCCTTAAAACACAACCTCAAACCCACTTTGTCAGCATTCGCCTTTTATTTATATCTGCTTTGGTAGTACAGCTTTGAAAATTATGGCCTCAGAAGCACACATCACACTTAAAACTAGAGCTAGCTGCACATACCTGAGTGTTGTGGTTTGGAGGCAGGGAACCCATGAGACCACTTAAGAAGCCCAAAGGGGTTAAGGGGTGTGTTTCTAACATTTGATCTGGTGTTTTGGAGAATGAGGGAGAGATCCCTGTCTTTTACATATCATGATGGATTGTTCACATTCTGGCTGTAGCCAAATGATTGTAATCCCCAGAGTCTCACTTGCTTTCTCTCTTTTTCCCATTTGCTAAAATTGTGGGGTATATTTCCAGGCAGCTCTCCAGTTGTGATGAAGATACATTCTTTTCCAGGAGTGGCTCAAGTGTGAGAATTTTCTGGCAGTGCCTTCCTGCATAAATAAACCACCTCTCTTCTGCTTCAGGCTTCAAAGGGAGGGGAATTGTGCCCTGTTCATTGGGAAGAGGAGGGAGTGGGGCAGTTCACTGGCACTTGAGATTAATGAGAATGGACAGGTCCAGCTCCCTCTACAGAAGCTGTCATATCAAAGGCCAAGCCTCCTAGGCATCCAGAATGAAGAAGAAGTACAGCATATAGGAAAGCCAGGATGCCTAGTGGTTAAGAGTGTTGTCCTTGGACTTGGAAGATCCAGATCCACTTGGCCATGAAGCTTATTAGGTGATGTTGGGCCAGTCATGGACTCTCAGCCTCACTTACCTCACAGGGTTGTTGTGAGGATTAAGTGGAAATAAAGAGGAGGGCAATGTAAGCCGCCTTGTGTCCCTTGCAAAAGAAAAAGGATGGGAGATAATTGCAACAAACAAGCAAACAAACAAACAAACAAGGAAAGAACAATTTACATAAAATTTGCACATAATTTTTATGTAGAGATGTAAACTTTTAAGCAGTTGCTAGAACTTAAATAGAAACGCAGTACAGCACACTGCAGCAGGGAAGACGGTGACCTATTTGCCTGCTTGGTCTGCAGCCCAGACGTTCACTGCTGATGGACCCTTTCAGAGCCTCTGCTCTCCCTCACAGGAAGCTGGCAGCTCCAATGTCTGTGGGGCTCCTCACCCACCACAGCTTCTCTTTTCAGCTTTATACCCTATCTGTGGTGTTCCATGGTGGTGAACCTCTCTTGGGGATGGAGTCCAACGCCATGGATAGCTCCTCTATAGCACAAAAGAAAAGCTGCAATGAATGAGGAATCCCACTGTCATCAGAGTTCCCGCCCTCCCCTGTTTTCTGCCTTCAGATGATTTTTATTACTTATTTTTAAACCAGCCTTGGACTGGACAGCCCTTCAACTCAAGGGCTATCCCCTGACATGGCAGAATCAAAGCCCTTTACTGGGAGAATGGTTAAAATTATTTTCCCCTCAGAATTCCAAAGTGGAACTCAGATAGTCCCAAACCTGCCTTAAGTCAGTGGTAAAGTCTGTATCAGGCTGCAAGCTGAGTGCAGGTGAAGTCTAATTCCTCCTTCCCACAGCCCAGCCACAGGAACAGGGCATTTGATGACTGAGGCCTGAAATTTTTACTTTGTCTGTAGCTGATTTGGCACACAAGTACTTCAGCATTGACAGAGGCAGCAAAGGCTAGGTGGTTTTTAAGCATTGGGGTCTGATGGAAGGAAAAGGGGGGTCATGGCACTGTTCCTAGTGGATAACAGTATCCAATACTTTCAAAACGTGTTTCACAACAAGAGCCCTAAAGCCTCTGCCTTCTCAGATGATTGTAAGGATGGTGAAGTGGATCAGTTAATTGAAGGTCTTCTCAGAGAGTGTGGAAACATTGACAGATTTGGATAATGTCTGGATAATATAACTCATCTCAGCCCTCCTCAATCTGGTGTCCTGCAGTGCTTTGGACTTCAGCCCCCAGCAGCCTTAATTAGCATAGCCAATGGTCAGAATGCTAAGAGTATAGTTTAAAACATCTGGAGGACACCAGGTTGGGGAAGGTATACCCTATCCTATTCTTTTCTTCCTAATCCAAACAGTGCTTCCAGAATGATCCTAGATGAGAAGGAACACGGGAATTAAACTGTATATTCACACCAGCATGAGTGCAGACTGGGCACTTATGGCTTGCCAGAGAGAGAGAGAACAAAATAGGATCACTGTTTGTGTAAAACCTGCCTATGGTTCTCTAAATGCATAGATGCAGATGTAAAAAGATCACAATTTTAATAGAAATACAGCACATCACATAATACAGCACAGCACATCACAGCACATAACCAGGTGATCAGTCTGCTGTCCATGTGTGGCATCCTTTCAGACAGAACACTGGCCTCTCTTAAAGAGGACATATAATTACACACCTAGTGATTGTATAGCAGTGTGTGTGCAGCACTTCCAAGTGTTCAAAATACTTCCCCTGCATTATCTAGTTGTAAGCCTCCAGTAAGGAAGGTACTTGGAGAAGAACATCAACAGAAGAGCTTCAATCATAGGTAGGCTAATAAGGAATGAGATGTTCATACAGGTGTTTGAATCCCAGAATGTTTGAGGGTAATTACCAACACCTTGAATTGAGCTTGGTAGCCTTCTCATTGAGCTTGCTTGTGCCCATTTATGCACGAGGCAGCAGAAGCCGCTTTAATCGGTTCCAGTGATGTGTCTGTCAGAAGCATGGGGAAATCTGGCCACCGTGAGACACCATGGAGTGTGGGCCAAACAGCTCATCTGCAGATGCATCCAGATCCCTGGGAATTAACTTCTGCTTGACACCAAAGTTGCAATTCATGTTAAATATTCATTTTTTATTGACAGCTAGAAAGCACTTATTACTTCTTGTAGGGATTAAATATGCCAGCATTTGATACCATTTAGTTCTGAATTATAGACTGAGAAAGTGAAAGATGCTCCTGTAAAAAGACTTAGGGCAGGCTCACCCAACCATTTTTGGAAAAAAGACCCAAAATGAGATGATTGGCATTGTAGATTGCTCTTCTGAAAGGTTTGCGTGCATCTTGATTGGATCAAGAGGTGAATGGCAACTTATGCGAGCTCTAGAAGTGGCATGTGGGTGGTCACTGGGTGTGGCCATAAGTATCTCAAAACCTCTTGTCTGCCAGATCAGATGCCAGGTCAGTGCATCACCTCCATGAGGAAAAGTTTCCACTATTTGCTGCCCCAGCAGCCATGACCTATGTGGGAGGCTGAGATGAAGGAAATATTAAATTGCAGTCCCGACACCAAAGTGGGACTTGCTGAGTTTTTCAGCTCCTGCTTACTTTCTTTCATGGGCATAAGTGTTTTGCTGGCATTATGTAATAGGTCATTTATCATAAATGTCAACTTGCAGTAGGAAGACTACAATACCATTCTGTAGGAATAGTTCACATTTCCATTTGGCTACCATCATAATTTCACTTTTTAAAAAACTACAGAAGAGTTGAAAGTTTCCTTATTATGCTGATTCTGTGGGAGCCTGGCTGAAGCATGGGAAAGGGGACATCAGTCACCCCAAACCATCTCAAAGGAGCCCACGCTGTAGCTGTTGACCTCCCCAGTGTTGTTCTATTTTCAGAGGCATGAAGGCTAAGGAAGAGCCAGTCTGCACATTGCACAGAAAGAGCTGAAACTGCTTTAGAGATAGAGAGGATGTATATTTGAATGCTTTCCTTAAAAAGCCTACAACAGTCATCCCTGTGTGTAATAAACTTGTCTATCCAGGAGACAACTCTATGCTAAACTCATCTCTCTGATGTGTTACTTGCTCCATGCACGACAATGTTTTTATGAGGAGGACTCCGGGTTTCGGAGAGCCCTTGGCACGGTCCACTAGGGGGCCTGCTTATCAAGGGCCCCAGGGAGTCTCTGTGGTGGCAACAGCAGCAGCACTCCAGAGCCAAGCATGAGGGAGTGTTTCAGTGTCCCATGATGGTATCAGAAAGCCATATTCCTGTGGAGCATGGCGGGAAATTAAAATAGTGGCTCCAGAACCTCAGTTGCCTGGCATGGGTGGGCATCTGTGTAGCATATACAGCATCCCTTTAGATGACCATCAATAGAATGAATTCTGTTTCCAGAAAGTGGGCTTTCTGGAAGAAAAAAGGAGGTTGCAATAGCTCTGGTATACCCGATCTTTTGAAGTGTGCCTGGACTGAAATGTGGGGTTCAGTTTAGCCAGTGAAGAAGAAGCCAGTCAGGTTTTATTTTTCCTAATTCAAATATAATTGCTCTACTTGAAGTAGTTAAGGTCCCGCCAGCTGCAAACATCGCATTGTTCTTCAGCCAACTGTGGGCTATTAGGCTGTGTGAGTGCCAGAAATTATGAGTGGCGGTTTAATACAACACATAGTTGTAGCCACACATCAGCCAAAGCGAATAACAGCCAGACTGCAAAATAATTACAACAATGTCTTGAAGAGAAGCCAGGCACTGAGTCCAGAATCATCCGTCTCCGTTAACTTGTATACGGTTCCTTACAGCAGCACAAAAACTTTCTGAGGGGGGTTGCTGAAACAGCTGGACAACTTTTATTTTGAAGAAGAGAGAGAGAGAGAAGAAGACGAAAAAGAAGAAGTGAAATCTCTAAACGAACTGGACTTGTTTTACAGAGCAAGGCAGCCTCTGCGTCGAAGACTTTGACCAGTGTGTGCAAGAGAAGTGTTCCCATGACTGGAAGTTTTTTTTATAAACCAGGGTTAACATTTGGCAAAGTTCTGACTTTTCCTCAGGCAGCTGAAGGGATTCCAGTGCACTCCCCAGCTTCAGTCAGCCTGAGTCCCGGTTTCTCTGTAACAGCCTGCATGCATGGTTTGGTATTGCTCAGACGTTATGTGGTCTCTATGGCCTCATTTTGCTGGACTGCCCGAGAAAGGGAGGGAGGATTTCCCCAGCACCAAAACCCCCCCAGTGTGTTCTCTTCAGCACAGTAGCTAAGAACAAGTTTCCTGATTGCTCCCAGGTTTGCTCTGGAATTATTTTCAGGAAGAGGCAGTCCCCCTCTGCAACACACACACTTAAATGGATGATTGTGTTACAATCAGGAAGAAGCATCTCCAGAGACCCATCTTTAGGTAAGTGACACCATTGTTCCTCTGGATCAAATTCTGAACTTTTCCTCTCGCATCTCTTCATGCTAACTTGAGGTTGTGATCTGAAAGCAAACAAGAGGCTTTGAAGATCAAGAGTCTAAAGTTTAACTTGCTCTGAGTGCAGGTGATGTTTGGCCATGATTTGCCCACTTTGGGGAAGCAGGAGCAAACTTTTTAAGCCTTCTTTGAAAGCTTAAGCACAAACAAGACAGCCAACCCCTTCCCCCTTATCCTGAACTTCTTATCAAGTTTTATGTGGAATTTTTATGCTCTGAAAGATGCCCAGAAATGCATTTCTTTCCTTACAGCCTTGCAGTTGCTTGGATGCTTTGTGGAATAGCAGAACCTTCTAAATGCAACACATTGTTCATGTTTGGTTTAGCTGATTATGTTTGTATGCCAGGAATGTAATACTTGTTAATAACACACCTTTGGAACTCCTGCAGTAATATGTTCTGCATGTTTACAAGGAAGTAAATCCCATAAAGTTCAATTGGAGTTACTCTTGGGTAAGCGTGCTTTGAATTATAGTTTTAATAGGATGTTTGACTTGGAAGTGAAATGGGCCAGCACTGTTTTAAAGATAAAATTAAATAGCTATTGCATCAGCATGACCTTCTGCACATGTCCCACTTAAGTCAATGGGATTATTCCCTATTAAGTGTTTGTAGGATTGCAGCCTGAATGTATACATTTCTCTTTGCAAACCAATGTTTGCAGCAGAACGACAGTAGACTTTCTGGCTTTTATTCTGTACCCAGTTAGGCTGATTACACTGTGGCTGAAATCCTAGAGCTTTAATCCTATACTTGGGAATGAACCCAACTAGGTGGAACTTAACTTCTATACAGACCTGTATAGGATTGCACACTTAAGCACATGATCTATATGCAAGATCAAACATTATGTAATGATTATTTCTTCATCTCAAATTCAGGACCAGTTGAAGGACATTAATATATAATAGGTTCTGAATACTAGACTATAGCCTATGTAACTACAAGAAAAGCTTATGAATGGGAGCTATGGTTTAATTATATTGGCTTTGTTTAACATTTCTATGATAGGAGATCTCTTTGCAATAAATGATGAGCAATATATCAGGGGAATAATGGGAAGACAGTAAGGTGACCTCATTGTCAAAGTACTTTTGTGATGTACAAATATATGGTTGCGGTAGTCCCAGAAGGGCAAACTGGACTGCAGGTTGAAATGGCATGAAGATCCACCCAGAAATTAAATTCTAAAGATAAAATAGTTTGTCCTCTTGATAGACTCAGGTGGAATACCTTTGTTCAGTTTGACTCACGATGGAAAACGAATATCCAGCGTTAGCGTTGTACAGCAAGCAACCTTTGCTGCAATCCAGAGAAGTTCATGTTTGCCCAGTGGTTCTCCACTCTCAGAGACTTTGCCTGTTGATGGCAGGCAAAACCGCATCCTGCTGCGTACAGAAAGCTGCTTTTTCAGTTGAAGGGAATGAGGAAGCCCCCTTGCACCACATTCCTGTACTGTTATCCCAGCCTTTTAGCAAAGGACTCAGGATACCCAGGTTCCCTCTTGCCTTCATCTGATCCTCATGACAATCTTGCAAGGTGGGTTATGGTGAGAAGGAGTGACTTCCTGTTACCCTGTGTGGTTAATAACTGAGCAGAGACTTGAACCCAGGTCTCCCAGGAGTCCTGCTGGACTTTAGCAAACTGTGTGCATGCTGGAATGCCTACAGCTCCCAGAACAATGGGATTCTTCCATTTGGATATTGTGGGTTTTATATATTTCACAGTCTGCCGATTATTGTACTTCTAGGTCTGCTTTAGAAGTTAAAGGCAAATACTATAACTCATTATGTGCTGCTGTAAAAGTTTTACAGTTCAGTTGTAAGAACATTTCCTTGAAAGTAAGTGAGGCTATACTGTGCAACATTTCAATGGCCCTTGCTCCCAGGTTAAGGCTGTGATGCTGTATTCAGTTTCCTTGAAATAAGCCCAGTGAATTGGATGGGGCTTCCTTCTGAGTAAGCATTCATAAATGCGTATTGCCAGCATGCTCTGGAATGTGCTCTGAAACAGTATTGCACTTTACGAAGTAGGAACTGTCAGCATCAGCATCAAGTCTGTGATTAAATAAATGGTGAGAAAGCCACTTGTTTATGGAGATACCAAGGGGATGCTTAGCATGTCCAAGGGAGCCTGGCAAGCATGTGGAAGTCTTTGGGTGCCATTCTGCAGCCGGTTAAGCTACCTAACTCCCAATGACTTTAATGGGTTTAAGTAAACTGACTGTGCACAGGGTAGCAGCTTTTGGGACTGTATTCAGTTAATGATTTAAATGTCTCTCCTGCAATGTGTGTGTTTTTTTAATTTTGTTGAGTACATTTCTCTACCACCTGCTAGCTGAGGTATATCAACAGCCAGCTATGGTCACAGATGTGCAAACCCAAAAACTCATGCAAAATAACCATTGCTGCCTTCTATCCACTTACTTGGGAGTAAGGCCCACTGAAGTGAATGAAACTTCATCCTGAATGTATGACTGCACTGCAAATTTGTTAAAAGATATTAACAAAGCAATGTTTTATTGTATATTTGTTCCAGTTATATCACAGCAAGAGGTCTGTAATGCCTCTTAACCTTCAGCAAGGGATTTTGGGTGGAGGTTCCTGTTCTTAATGACTATGAGCTGCCACTCATGTGTTTACTGGGAGTGGTGGCTCTTCATGAATGGGGCCTTTTGTCCTCCAACAGGGCTCTGAATAGGCCAGTCCAAAATTCAGTGTGATGGAGGTGGGGTAAGCCAGGTTAGAGGCATGATGCAACAATTGGAGAGACACTTGCAGATTCCGTATCGCTATGTTTTCTGTACAAGTGAGGTTTGCTCCTGGAAATTGAACTGGGTTAGAAGTCAGCAAGTGCACATAATATCTTCCTTGCCTTGGCTTCTAAGCCTTCTAGAAGATGGAGATAGTAGCATCAAAGGATATGAAACCTGCCATGAAATGACAGATTATCCCATCTGGTTAGGATGCAGACTTCGTATCTGGGACAGAAATAACTTGAGATTGAAGGAATCTGAATGTGAGTGAAAGTAAAGGAGGCAGATTTCTCCATCTCTACTTGGGATCATTTAAGTCATGCAGCAGAATCAGAAGACCCTCTCCCAAGAGCTTGAGTACAGCTAGTGGGATTGTTGACTTTTCTTTCTTCTTACAAGGTCAGGATCCTGTGTCCCATCATAAGCCGCTTTGGAAATGTCCATTGGTTTCAGTTGTAGGGGCGTAGTCATGGCAATAGTGGAAAGCCCTCCCAGGGGATGCTTACCTCACACCCACCTTGATGTCATTTCCATGCCTGACCAATAATTTTTCATTTGCTCAGACATTCTAACATGCTTTATTATATCTAGCTTTAGTTGTGTCTTTTATAATTTATGCAGGATTTTATTAACTTTATAGGTTTGTTGGCTGCTGCTTCTATTGTTCGTTTATAAGCATTTATTACTGCATTTGTTTTTATTGTTATAAAATGTCAGCCATGCTGAGTATCTTAGACTGAAGTTGGTTTATAAATTCACTTAATATTGTTATTATTCTTGAGCCACAATTGGCATGGATCTGTGACTGTGGTAAAACAGTCTGCAAATAACAGGCGTGGGAGGGGAGGTGGTTGGGAAGAGAACCGATTTTCTCTTACAAGAGTTGGAAAGGGGAAATACTCCTGAAAAGGAACTGTAAAAGTAAAACCATGTTAGACTGTTTTAGAAAATAGAGCTATAGCATGGATAGATATTTTTCTTGATTCTATTATGAATGAAAGAATCTCTGTTGCTGCATAAAATTGTAGAATGTTAGAGTTGGAAGGGACTTGGAGAACAGCTCGGTCCAATGCAAGGTGTACAGTGCAGGCTGCATCTCTGACAGGTGTCCAGCCAACCTCTGCTTAAGTATGTCCAGTGAAGAGGAGCCTCTCAAGGCACTCTGTCAAACAAGTCATACCATTAGGAGATTTTTCCTAATATTTGCAAAAACCTGCTTCCCTGCAATTCCTACCTGTTGTTGTTGTTGTTGTTGTTGTTTTTATTGTGCCCTTTGGAGAAACTAAAAGAATCTGCACCATAGCTCTTTACATATATGAAGATTGCTATCATGTCTTCCCTTAACTTCTTTGCTGCAAACTAACTTGGCCCAGCCCTTTCAAAAATTCCTCATAGGAACTGGTTTTTAGCCCACTCACCTTCCAAAGATCCTGACAAGATTCCAGTCAGTATATTTTTCAAGGTGGACTGACTGGGGTCAAATGTATCAGCACTGAAACTGAGCTTCAAAATGGCAGGATTCTGACAAACACCAAGCTTGTAAAAGAATGTGCAATATCCCTTCATGAAGGCATTTCGCAAGGCATGACAGCATTTTCAAACGTGATGCTCACTATTCCAAGTTTTGCCATTGGGAATCCCTTTTCAGTTACTGCTATGTGGGCCCATGTCATTTAAAATGAGGGGTGCTGGATTTCACCAAGATGCTCCCAGAACTACTTTGAAGCTTGATTCACCTTGCACAAATTTTTATTTGCAACCTGATTTGTGCCAAATGTGAAAAATGAGCATTTCTGTGCACATTTTTAGAGGTACTCACTTCATTTTGCTCTTAATGGAAGCATGAAAATACATAAATATATTTTAAATTGTGTATTTCCTCAAAATATGATTTTGACGAATGTGATCATAAACTTGAGAGTGTCTCAGCATTCAAATAAAAGTACTGCCATTTGCATTTGGTGTTATGAATGGAATGGATTCTGATGCTTTGTGAACTGAAATAATATTCTCAGACACCCCTAATTAAAATTACCTCTCCGTATTACTTCCCATATTGCAATGTGTATGATCTACATTTGATTGAAGCCAATGGCAACGTTCACCCAGATTTCAAGAACAGAGAGTCCTGGGGTCATGCCATTAATTTGTATGATTCTTTTCCAGTTCTA